GTTAACCAGCTGTTCTATTATCGGCAACTCGAAATCAACCCCATTTTGTAGTGCGTATGCTTTATTTGAAGAAAAATGTAGCATTACTGGATTGCTCGATCGTTCAAATATAATCAGATTGATGCTGAAAGGCTAAACAATCGTTTGGACACATTCAGGGAAGTGCGTTGATGGGAAAACATAGTGAAATTAACGTTTAAATTTAGGTTGCCGAAAACAGTCAATGGGTGCCGAAGCCAACATTTACCCTACGTTAAGTATTTTCGGCAAAGTAAAATGTGAATGACGTAAAGTTCGTTACATTATTTTGCTGCTTTCGGCAGTTTTAGATTTTGCCAATTAGATCAGTGTTTACTAATTGACGAAGCTTGGTAAATGATTATAATTGCTGAAATTTTGCTAAAATCAAATCCTCCCTTAGCTCAGTTGGTTGAGGCGCAGTTACAAAGCTAGACCATGCTGGATGTGGCTGAGTTCGATTCCCGGTCCGGTCTAAGAATTTTTCGGGCTGGAAAATTTCATGACTTCCCTGGGCATAGAGTATGATTGTACTTGCCACACAAGTATATTAATGCAAAAATGGTACAGACATCGAAAGCTCTCAATTAATAACTGTGGAAGTGCATCTAGAACTCTAAGTTGAGAGCACGCAAAAAGTTAATATGCAACAAGCAATAAGCTTGAAATGCGAAGAAGAAGATCAGAATTTCGGTAAACTACCTATTACATGTTCAACGAAATTCCGGCAAACTTTTCAGTTTATTGAACTGTTCCGGCAATATATTTCACCGAGGATAGATTCCGATTTTAAGTGCATTAGCGTTTAACGTTTAGGGCGATTGCTTGAAGAGTCCCAAAATCGCTGATATGCCCTATCACTTCATGTTTTCTAGAGCACAAATCCCGGACACTGCTGTGACATCGCTCATGAAACTGGAACTCCGTGCGAACTGATATTTGTGCTCTTGAAATTTCGAGGCCATAATGAGATAAATATGAACGAAGGATTCCACAGCGATTCAGCTTAAACGCTATTTCTATCTATTTAGCATGATACCCATGATAGTGCACTCAACAGATGGCGATAGAGCTTTAGCGACGATGATTTTCGGTGATAAATATTCCATGTATTATGTCTGTTTGTCTGTGGAATTGCCATGATTGGTATATCTACCCTACAACAACTACCACTAGAATTCTCTTCAGGATTCTACAGTAATGAATGTAAGTACGGGCTGTCAGAAAATTGGTATTCTAATTCAAATCCAGCTTCTCTTGGAATTCTCATCAGAATTCTCAATGAAATCAGGTCATCTACATTAGAATTTCTATGGAATTATCCTCAGAATTTACTTTCAATTTCGCTTACAGTTCCTTACAACTGTGGTAAAGGAGATAATCAACCGGATTCGTACTTTCCTCAAAATTTACCTTTGCTTGCTTTCTACTCTCTATATACAATTTTCACACTGCCGTACTCTAACGGAACTATCAACTATATGCTTTCATCTCCTCATCTATCGTATAAAATTACCACTTTAAGTCTGATATTTGACGTTAAGCATCTCCAACTATTATTTGTACCTTTCATAGCTCTGCCGGACAACTGCCTTGGCGTTTAACGTTTAGGGCGATTGTTTGAAGAGTCCCAAAATCTCCGTAATGGTGGCTGATATGCCCTATCACTTCATGTTTTCTAGAGCACAAATCCCGAATACTGCTGTGACTGTACTGCTGATCTCCTGCAACTGAATAAATAGTGTTTCCAATGAGAATCATGGATTGCTTGATTTATGTTTTCTTATAGTCATACCAGCTTACCCTCCATTCCATAGTCAAAACCTCGTTTGAAACGCCTTAAATCATCTAAACGGGTTGTCTTGAAAAAGTTTTGCGAACTGTAAACTGACGTGTCAAGAAAGAAATACATACGCATTAACAAGTAGTACAAGTAGCTCAACAAGCAAATCTACCTAGACCACCAGCGTCAACTACAAAATAAGCCCAAAACTAATCCTAAAAGCTTCTGGAATCACGTGAAAGATCAGCGAAAGGAATCGGGTCTGCCCGCCACGATGTTCAACGGGGATTGAGAAATGTCTAATGTGGATGGTATCGCGGATCTATTCAGGTCACATTTCTGCAGTATTTTCGTCAACGAGGAGCTCTCTGACGAACACGTTTCAGATGTTGCAAGTGAGGTTCCCATACGTTCAATTGTTGAATTTCATCCACTTTTATCGAGAGATGACGTCCAAAGGGCAGGTCTTCGCTTAAAAAAAATCTTCCAGCATTGGCCCTGATGGAATTCCAAAAACTGTATAGGAGTCTTGATCGCACCACTAGTATTCATATTCAACCTTTCGTTGAATTCTGGAATCTTCGCTGATGGCTTTCGTTTTCCCTGTCTTCAACATTCAGTAATCAACTATCGAGGCATTGCGGCTTGGTGCGCAGTTTCAAAACTTTTTGAGCTGATAGTTTTGGATCATTTTAAACACATTTGCTCCAGTTACGTTGCCTCCGAACAACATGGATTTATGCAGAAGAGATCCACTGCATCAAATCTCGTGCAATGCATATCTTTTAAAATTCGCGAGCTTGAAAAAGGCGAACAAGCTGATGCTATCTACAAGCATCTCTCTGCTGCGATTAATAAGATGAACGACAAGATTGCTGTTGCCATATTAAAGCGATTAGCCTTCCATGGTCTCCTTCTTAATTGGTTTCATTCTTACCTCACCGGTCGTCAAATGTCAGTGAAAATAGGTGACCGTATTTCTCAGTCGTTTCCAGTTTCTTCTGGTGTACCCCAAGGTAGTCATATTGGTCCGTTTGTATTTCTGCCGTATTTGAATGACATTCACTTTTCAATCAGCTGTCCGAATCTATTTTATGCGGATGATTATAAACTGTATTTTGTCGTAAAGGATCGTAGTGATTCAGTTTTCCTTCAACACCAGCTGGACGTTTTTTCTACTTGGTGTCACTGTCACAAGAATAGGATGGTATTGAATGCTTCCAAATGTTTCATCATCACTTTCTGCAGAAAAAATCACCCACCTGCTTTACATACAGCCTTAATGGTCAGAAACTGAACCGGGAGACTACAATCAGTCTTAGGAGTCATGCTAGATTGTCAACTAACCTTCAAGGAGCAGTAAAGCATCTTATCAGGTTGGCTTTATTTTTGGCATTGCTAAAGATTTCAGAGACATTTCGTGCTTGAAAACGCTTTTCCGTTCGACGCTGGAATACTGTTCAGTAGTTTGGGCGCCATTTTACAACAATGTCACAAATCGATTTGAGTCTGCTCAGAGGCGTATTGTCCGCTATGCTCTTCGTTGGCTACCCTGGAGAAACCCTGTAAACCTCCTTAATTATGAAAGTCGATGTAACGTGCTGTCTTCATCGCTGATCTCCTGCGTTCAGAAATTGACTGTAGTCCACTTTTGCAATAGCTTAATATTAACATAAGACGTGCAAACGAAACAAGCATGTGTCAAATTTTGAATAGATGTTATAACTGTTTTGACTTTGATGCTTCCCGTGCTAGCCTTAAGTATTTTTCCTATAATGTTTTATCATCCTGATTAAGTAAAGATTAATGCTTCCTGAAATAGTTTAAGAATATATGTATCTGTAGGATTTTATGTTATCTGTTGATACGAAAAGAAGAGGTTTTCCGCTCACTTGATAAGGGGTAAGGTTGGTCCTTCTAAAGTGGGCTTTTGCCTCTCAAATAAATAAATTATTAGGTATAAACTATGAGCACACCCATGGCCACCCTTGTGTAGTTGTCATACAAGTGTATGGGCGGCATAAATATATGTGATCCTTTGAGCAGTAGAACTCATCACCCTTGTTTTAAAGGCTTAAATCTAGGATTAGGTGGCAACGTACAGCTTAAAGAACTCGATTCGTTATAACCTCACTTCGCTCAAGCCATTTGAAGTTCATATTGAGGCAACCAACCTTATTGTTCATATTGTTCTAGTTTTTCATCATATTGCTCCGACGAAATAAATCGCAACGTACTGCGCAATGGAAGAATAAATCTTCCCTATGTTTAACGACCAGACCATACACCATAAGCCATTTGACAGCACGAGTGTAAGTAGAGTGATAGTTGCTTGCATGGTTCGCTGACTTCTTGACGTACTAGCTCATAACAAATCAACCAATCGGAAGTGAACATACGATCGCCGACTACAAACCTACGACGTCGATCGTGCAGCTCGACAAGGCACTTGATAGCACGAGGCGCGGCATCGGCAGCAAAGATTAATAATCAAACACACGGTTAAATCAAGGACATGCATGTTGCACACCGGGCCCGAGCAGCGCACCGTTGTTTAAAATATCCTACGTCATTCGATTAACGGCTCAAAATCACGCGTTGTATCACGTGAGCCACCTCTCGAGCCAATAGGATTACCGGTGGTCGATTAACTACACTTCCATAAAGTCAGACAACGTACACGCCTTTGTGTGCTGATGAAATCTTTGTGTTCTAGAGATCTAAAGTGCATAAACGCAGGAAACATGGCGTATGAATGCGCGGATGTTAGTCTTATCAAACCCTGAACCGGTTTTATGTAGTTGCTGCCGGTTGCTGTCGATTCCAGTTTTTCGAATAGCCACAAAACCGTAGACATACGTCCGGTTGATACTTTTAGAGGTCAGTCCGAGTGTATTAGAGTTCGCTGATCACGGCGTTTAGAGATCAGGTTCAAGAGCACGAAGGTCTATTGCGAAGCTGGAAGCATCTAAGACGGAAATATGTTACTCCGTCGATCCGAAGATCGCATTTACCCAATTCCTAATATGAGTAAATATGATTACTAAATACTCTTCAAAGCCATTGCCAATGGGTATACAGGACAAGCTACTGTACATGAAGCATATGAAGACAAACGTTTTGTCTATCTAGCAGTACGGTGTAACAGCAAATTGGTTAGTACATTTAATAGTTAAAATACAAAAAAAAAACATCTTACATAAATGCTCATCCGTTCGACTGCCATGGAGACTCCCGCTAGTGGAATGTTCCTTGATAATGCCTGCCAGCCTATCAGTCTCATCGATTTCGTCATCCTCGGAGTAATCATCTTCCTCGTCCACCTCGTCCTCTTCTTCATCATCCTGATCCTCGTCCTCCTCCGCCTCCTTCGCACCGTCGCGGCCCTTGCCGGTCACGACCGTGTCCTCTACCTTGACCTGAAGTATTCGCTTCTTCTTGCGTCTTCGCCGTTGCAATCGTGAAGATCCACTGGCAGTGCCAGCGGACGAGCCAATATTCGAGGACGATATCGACGACGTCGAAGAGGATGCCGAACTGGAGGCTATCATGCGGAACTCCTTGTACGGTTTGGCTTTCGGACTGGACAGTGGAGACATTTTGCGTTTCGACTTACGTCGGTAGTAGCGGGATGTGGCGTAGGTCCACCGTGTGCTGACACCGGTGATGCTCGTTGTGATCCGCGTTGTGAAGGAAGGTGACGAATCATAGTACACGGCCAGTGTATCGTCCGCATCCGAGGGTGGCGTCGATGGTGGCGTCGGGAGCGTGGAACGGTCCAACGGGCGCGTGCGAAAACGCTTCTCGATTACGGCGAACAGCGCCACCTTGAAAGAGAGAAAACGGAACGAGCAAACGGAGAAACGGACGGGTTGATTGGTTATTTAAATTGTGCAAACTACAGTTCTAACAAGGCATTATGGTTATATGAAAATGGATGATGAGCAATGGACTATAACAAAAGCAATATACGAGAGCTAGAAAACGAATTAACAACACCATATAAACAAAACAGTTTGCACATTTTTATCAGCGTATTTTTAGAACAAAAAGCCACATACACACAACTACAAGATGAAGAGGATCCCAATGATTGATGTTAATCGTTAGAGATTGCTAACTAGACATACGCCAAACGGCTGTGGGGTCCGATATTGAGTGATGATTATCACTTTTGCTCTGAGATGGGTGAAGCTGTTTACCCCCAACCGACGGGCTCTGACGTTAATAAGGTCTATGAACAACAACTGCTGCATCTGATAGGTAACGCCACCGTCGGATGATTCAGAAGAAAACAGCCTGTTTGGCGAATTTACACACTCCGATTCGAGCATTATCGCTAGCAAATATTGAATGTTTAACGAGCAATTGATCAGTTAGTAGCGCACACAATTGGAAAAGAATCCATATCTAAATTTAGATGTTATCGGGAAGACGATGTACAATACGAAGGTATGAAATAATAAATCAGTAAGTCGAGTCCCAGAGATTTAATTTACATTAAACTGTGGTGAAATTGAACGACCGAAATAGAGATAACCGGAGTCTAGGGTTTATCACTAACGTCGTTATGATTGATTTAATAACCTTAGATATTGCTTTAATAAGGCAGCGTGGACACACTTGATCCCCTATTTTAATTTTGGATATATCTCAGCGCAAAAGTAAAACCAAAATCAAACAAATCGCTCACTAGCCTACGCAGTTTATGGACAGCCCCTATATTTAAATACTAGAAAGGGTCTAAGTATAAGAGAGGAGCGGACTGGCTGGTTTTGAGCAAACGAGCTGTCAAAGCCAGAGCCAACCAGGCGCTGCTCTTCACACAGGTAAAAGAACGTAAGAATTCCATTAGAAAATGGCCGAATGTCAGCCCAACTGTGAATGATTTCCCATAACAGACAATTATGCAAATTTTCGTGCAAAACGGAGAAGGTCGAGTCATAATCTTAAAGTTGTTTGGCATTTTTTCTTAAAATTCTATTCATTCCATTGTTTGCTTCCTGTGCATCTGATTTTTATGGCTATATACAGGGGCCTATAAACCGGGTCTGCCATCGACTCCCTGTCTCGACAGAGAACCATCGCGCACAGAAACACAGAAACTGTTTAGAGTTTCCTTCTGAATGATCTTGAAATTATCCTCAGTATTCCTATGAATTTATCTTTAGATCTCCCTTTGAATTCTCTCCAGAAATTTCAGGAGAATTTACATGAAATTCTCTTCAAAATTCATCAGGAATTTTCAGGGCTATTTCTATAAATATATAGAAATGTTTCTTCTAAATAACCTACCTTGGAATTTTACTTCGAAGTTACATAGAACTGTTATTGAAGTTCTTCCCCAATCCCTTTGATCGTGACTTCCTTCGGAATTCGCACCAGAACACCCCTTGAATTTCCGTGGAACTATTCTCAAAATTTGATTGCCTTTAAATTAATCTCGGAATTCCTTTCAAACTCTGATTTTTTTCTCAAAATTCATATAAAATTATCTTTGGAGTTCTCTTTGAATTGAATCCACATGACATTAGATTATCCCATAGAATCATCCTTAAAACTAACTGAAATTTTTCCTCTTAATCCTTAGAACATTGTGCTTAAAATCACCTTGAATTATTTCTAAGAAACATCTTCCATAGAACTTCCTTTAAAATTCTGAAAGATTCTCCCTAAAATGCATATGATTTTTTTCTCATGACCTTTAAAATTGCCTTGAAATTTTACTTCGATAGATAATGATGTATTTATTTAATTACTGATGGCATAGTTATTAGCAATATTGATGAGTGTACCCCATTAGGCACAAATACATTAGGCATATGGACGTTAGGCATACGGAGGTTAGGCATAATGGACGTTAGGCATTAAGTCTTTAGGCATAATGGACGTTAGGCATTAAGTCTTTAGGCATAATGAACGTTAGGCATAATCTATGTTAGGCATAATGGACGTTAGGCATAAAATACCTTGCTGCTGTTCAAATCTAGAAACCTGTTTCGAGAATGGTAAACAATGCTTAAATTAGGCTAAGCGCTGAATAAAAGATGATACAAGTTATACAAACATAGTTTATTTAATAACCACAGTTTGGAATCCATTATTTATCATATCATAAGTGACGTAGCTAGATATTTACTTAGATCCAAAACTAGTAGTGATTGCGGTTAATCTGGCAATAAAAACTCAGCATAGTTTTGAACTATATCTTGAAATCAATCGCATCTAGATATAAACATTTGTTGTAATATATTCTTAAAAAACATTGCAATTGTCAAAGAAGAAAAGGTTTTCTTCAAAGAACAGCTCATGAAATAAAGAATGGTGAATTCTGTGATTTTTCATTCAATAAAAAATAAAACAGCTAAGGTTGATTAAAAGATGATGCCAAAGAACAGCTCATGAAATGAAGAATGGTGAATTCTGTGGTTTTTCATTCAATAACAAAAAAAAATACCTGCTGCTTCCAGGATTTACTCCCATACATTTCGAAACAATGATTCTGTTTTTGTTGTCTGTTGAATGAAAATTAGCGGAACCGTCTGCTGATGTGAGGGAGCGATACTTCCATGAATAGTGACGAGTTGCCGAAACAAACAAGGAACTGTGGCAAACGTACCATCTGCAACCCATTACTTTGCCTGTCCAAGACGTCGCAAGTTTTAAGACTCTTTCATTATTGTCACCGATGTCAGCAATAATGGAATTCATCGAATTCATCGGGTAGATTATGCCTAACGTCCATTATACGTAACGTCCATTATGCCTATCGTACATTATGCCTAGCGTCCGTATGCCTAGCGTCCGTATGCCTAACGTCCATATGCCTAACGACCGTATGCCTAACGTCGTGTATCGGTTTTTACAAGCTCCTTTGATATTACGAGACTATTCACAAACGTGTAAAATTGAAGCTGAGAGTTGAATTGACGCATGATTCCATTGCACCTCGTTTTTTAGAAAGGGAAGGTATAATAATGCTTTCTCGTTTTACTCTTCACCGATGGTAGACACGAAGCAACTGCTGCCAGGCGTTATTGAAGTTTCGATTGCGTTCGGGTGTAAAGCAAAAACCATGAAACTCAATCTCACCACAGTTTGTTGAGATTTGCAGCTGGTGAGTTTTGTTAGCTTGATATTCCGAGCTGCGATATCACAGCTTACGATATCAGCCGTAGCTGTTTGCTTGTTAATTTTTTTCTACGATTGGAAGAACACTAGGCCGAATTGATAGATTGAGCTAGGAAATTATCTTTGAAAACAATGAGATTTATGAACAGTGCGAGATTTTTACCTTCAAATATTGCGTATTTTAAATATCTGATTTAACACAAATCATGGCTCTTTAAAAATAGATAAAATTTTATGATTCTGACACTATCAAGCATTGGCTAGAGAATTATGATCTCGTTTTCCGTACTGAGTACTCCCTGAGGCAACTCCCACACCTGGACCCTAGCCATCGACCCATCAACTCATAAACCGGGGACTAACGGAATTACTCCGTACTCAGAGATTTTATGCCTCAGAAAATCCCGGCGGCGCCGACTGGGATTGAACTCAGGTCTTTTGGGATGAGAGCAATTACGACTGCACCACCAGCGCCGCTATTTTTGAGGATAGTTGTAGAGGAAATCTACGGATAATTCTGAATGAACTCTGGGGACAATTCCAATGGAATTTAACTATAAATTTCAGATAATTTTTAGAAGTATCTCATCCAAATTGCATGGAGAAGTAGAGTTGAGTCCCAAGGTAGTTATGGGACTTATGGGGATTATGATTATATTTTCAGGGACCTCTAAACCAAATCAAAATGAATTTTTGGGAGCATTCAAAGGGTCTCTTTCCTTCAAAGTGACTACAATCCTGAAACTACGCCAAATGATTACCAACGGTTGAAAGTCTCTTAAATGTTGATCAATCAGATTACAGTTGATTACAAAGAGACATTTTGGACAGCTGCAAGGAAGTAGTGTTGGGAAAACATAAAAAAATCAAATCTCACCAACGCCCAAGATCACGCTTGATTTTCGTAGACAAAAATCAACAAGCAAACAACTGCGGTTGATTTTGCAAGCTGTGATATCGCAGCTCGTAATATCAAGCTAACAAAACTCACCAACTGCAAATCTCACCAAACCGTGGTGAGATTGAGTTTAATGATTTTTGCTTTACACCCGAATGCAACCGAAACTTCCATAACGGCTTGCAGCAGGCCCTTCGCGTCTGTCATCGGTGAAGATTAAAAAGAGATAGCAAACTATGCTTTCTCTTTCTAAGAAAACGATGTGCAATGGAATTCTTTTTTGTGTCGAGTCAACTCTCAGCTTGATGTTTGCATGTTGTGAATAATCTCGCAATATCAAAGGAGCTTGTAAAATCAATATCAAGCATGATATTTTGTTCCAATATCACGCGTGATATTGCGAGCCCATGAGAGCGGAAAAATATCAATTGATTTCTGATTTTGCCAACACTGCAAGGAAGTATGGATACGTCTTAAAATAGCTACGGACGTGGACGTCTAATTCTTAAAATAGCTCAACAAATTCTATGTAGGATTTCATGCTAGTTTGAAGATAGTATCAAGAGAATTTAAAAGAATTTTAAGCGAATTTCAAAAAGTTTTCGGGAGAAATTTTGAGCATATTCCTAATGAAACTATGAGTAGTGCTCCAAGAAAATCTGAAGAAATGTTTTCGGATATACTAAGGATAGTTTCAAGAGAATTCCAAGAGATTCTCTTAAGGGCAGAAGAGAGAGAAGACTTCTGAGGAGAAATCTAACGAAATTTTGAGAGAAAACATTTCTTAATTTTAAATGG